GATGAATAATCATAAAAATATATCGCATTTCAGTTACGAATGTTGAAAACAATATTCAGACTTTAAAGATTTATATTCTATGTACGTCTCACGATTCAAATTTGAAATTGATGCTTAGTTTTAGATCCGAGCAGCACACTGTTTGGCATTCATGGTCCTTATTATAACCCACGAAATTGAAAATGTAGCAGATGTCTACTAGGAAAACCACTATTCGGGAGGAGAGCGAATATGCAGCAATCCATCAGTTACGCTTGTTGGAAATATTATTCAGGTATGTTTCAGATTCGACATCCATGTTCCACCTCTCATGAAAATCACTTTTAATTTTCATGGATATTTTGATATGTGATGTTCACTTGCAGATCCGAAAAGCAAAGTGTTTGATACTTGTCAAAAAATCGGAGAAAATCATCCAGTCAAGAAGAACCAAACAGAAGATCCGCAAAGAGAACTGACCAGAGTATACTTTTCAGAATTCAGATCCTTATATTAGTACGGAAGGCGATATATTGATTTCCTTTCCAGATACATTCTCAAGCAAACAGATAGACAGATATTCACCTTTATGTCTCTATGGAAACACGGCAGGTACCCTTACGAGGAAAGAGTATCAACTCGGCGTTTATAAACCCTCTCTGCAAAAGAGGTAGACGCATGGTGGGTTAGGTATCATACAGTCCATACCAAAACCAGGAGATATTTCACATGACCACAACATGCTTGTAGCTGCAGCACCAGGAAAGCCGTTTTTAAGCCAATATGAAGAAAAACATTTCAACTCACAGGAGTTTCAACTCACAAAAATTCCAATTTTGTAATGTGTAGAATAATGTTTGCAAATTTGGAATTATCCTTCAAAACAGCTCCTGAGGTTACCGTGGATTTATAGTAGATATCATCAATGGCCCAACCTCAGCAAGATTAATTCTAGCATCTTGGAGGATTTTTTATAGCACCACAGATATATTGAAAACCTGCAAAACTCTCACAGGTACATTTTTCATGAATGGTGCTCCACTGCAACAATAATAGCAAATTGTCATGATCCTATATGTGTGTGATTGGTATCCACATTAAGTGTACTCATTTTCATAAGGACAATATAAGTACAATATACTTATTACCTACATCAAGTTAAGGTAGGTGGTATTCTAGATTTGGTGTTCATCTATATCTTGTGAAATTAGTCTTTTTTCACCATTTTGATGAAATCTGAGTAATCTGGAGTTCCACAACATAAAACTTCGTTCAGATGACCTAGATGATTAAGTGATTATAGGTACATAATTATTTCTTGGTATCATTTTGTTATACTGAATTCATATGAATAAAAATATCTATCTATGTATTTCATGTTCGGGAACTGAATTAATTGATTAATAATTTTTGAAAATGAATGTAGATATTGCCAAAACATGTTTTTCACTGTATAAGTACAATGTATTATAATGAATTAATATTTTCATCAAAGACCTACTTGTGTCTTTCCAAAGTACTGAGAGAAGGATCTACCAGTTTACTTCTCCCCTCAGTGCTCATGTAAAGTGTTTTTTCTCCTCCCCTTACATTACAAGTGAAGATCCCTTCATGAACATGTAGAATTATCAATGAATTTAGAATCCAGGACAGTTATTTATGTAGGAATAAATTAGTTATTTACATGGTAGGTAATAGGTAGATATACCTCTAATTGTTGATTGAGGTAGTTGTGGAATAAAAATATGAACTTCAAAATCCAACTGGAAAATCAATACAGAAACACAAAAAAATATTAGGTGCTTACCAATAAAATACAGTTTGATACAAACATAGAAGCAGCAAAATTATGAATCTATATTTCCAAGATACAATTGGAAATACAAAGGATATGTTCAGCTACCTAAATAATCATTGATATCTCCTTAAACTTGAATAAAATTCAAGGAATGAACAGAAACAAAAAAAACTGATTATATATTATGAATCTGGGTTTTGGTTAAACATTTTGTAGCGTTTCGCCCTCATTTGCAAGATACCCTGGAATCTGAATGACAACTCTTCTTCCTTGCTGAAAGAGATGTTAGTATGGTCCTAAATAAACATTCATAAATACCTAGATATTTGATCTGTTGGTTGTACAGAATTGTTTGAATCAAGGTAAAATGCTTCTATTCTGCTCATGTATAGCTGTATTTTAACTTAATAGTTTTGGAAGTACATGCAATCTAAATTGGCTATCATTACTATAGAAATAATACTACAATGATGGGAATCTATAAAATCCTATGCAGGAAATCATGAATATTATCTTAATACGATTCAGAGAAGGCAGTATTTTATGGTTCTATATGAAATAGAACCATAAAATACTGACCTGCACATTTTTCAAATGTAATCTTTCTTGCCCACCCTCGTGTATTGCAATTCAAAAGTCCATTATCACAATAGGTATTTGAAAGAGAAAGGGACATACTTATTTTTCCTAGTCCTAGTTTCTGGAGACTTCATCAGAAACTTACCATGGAAAATATGAACTGTTGATCATTTCAATCATGTTCTTTCAGATGGGCACTACAAATAAACTACTCAACACTAATTTCGTCGCACACCAAAATGTCGCCCCTGTTATAATGTGAATAACTTTTTTCAGTTTGAAACAATTCGAATTTGGTTCACACTGTTCGATAGCCCAGTCCTTCAGCTATAATCTGGTAGTTCATTGAAACATAAGGGTATTCACATAAAATCTCTACATGGTGTTTTCCGACACTGTGCGAAATTTCGGAATATTCAAAAGGCTCTCAAATGGTGAAAAATTTGTTTTTCTCAACTTCGACAACAGAGGCATGAAGATGATCTCGTTACCTCGAGATATTTCGCGAATCAACTTCCTATCTCTCTTATTTACAGAGTGATCTCAAAAAATCAACTTTTTGGTTTTGTAGCCATAACTTTTTTCCACGTCAACCGATTTTGGAAATCTTAGGCTCATTTTGAAGATGAAACTTCAGATGAAGAGATCTGAATATCAGAATTGACTCAAGATGACTATCAAAGATCTAGAGTTTTCTTAAAAGTGACCCAAATCTGGAACGCCCTTCGAATCTTGGTTGGGAGGAGAATTGAATGAAAATCAACTTGTTCTCGGAAAAACAATTCATTCTGGATGCGTCCATATCTTCCTCGCTCTCAGTAGTCAAGAATTGTGCGAGAAAACACAATTGAAACATGTTCTTGCAAAAACATTAGATCATTTCTCCTCTGTAATGCATGGCCCGCCGTAACCAACGTTACAAGAATCACAATGAATGACTGACAAACCCGACCAGCTGAGGCTCATCATGAAAGGTGTACCAACAAGAGCAACGGATTTTGATTTTTTCGATAAAGTGATTTATTTACCAGTTGTCACGTACATAACATGCGATTTAGTAATATAGAGAAGTATTCAAGCAAACAACGTTTATTTATTGTAAAAACGCATTTCAAAAATGGTGAAAGTTTCACGAAAACAGTTTGCCAATTACGTAAAGTTTTCAGTCGCAATAATGCGCCGAACGAATCGACAGTAATAACCAAACAATTCGTGTCGAAGATAAGCCCTTTGAATGGATCGGACTGTCGTGTTTAGCAGATCCGCGATTTGAAGGGAAGATAACCCTTGTTCCCTCATTTGTGGAATCAGTTCCAACTGGTCGGGCGTTAGATGCTGCATCAAAACTATCAAAATCTGTTTATGATTTGAAAACGACGTCTAACCTGACTTGTCAGTACTTACTGTGATTCTTGCAACGTTGGTTACGGGCCATGCATTACAGAGGAGAAATGGTCTGATGTTTTTGCAAGAACATGTTTCAATTGTGTTTTTTCACGCATATTCTTGAGTACTGAGAGCGAGGAAAATATGGACGCATCCAGAATGAATTGTTTTTCCGAGAACAAGTTGATTTTCATTCATTTCTTCTCCCAACCGAGATTCGGAGGGCGTTCCAGATTTGGGTCACTTTCAAGAAAACTCTAGATCGTTGATAGCCATCTTGAGTCAATTCTGATATTCAGAACTCTTCATCTGAAGTTTTATCTTCAAAATGAGCCTAAGATTTCCAAAATCGGTTGACGTGGAAAGAAGTTATGGCTGCAAAACCAAGAAGTCGATTTTTTGAGATCACTCTGTAAATAAGAGAGATAGGAAGTTGATTCGCGGAATATCTCGAGGTAATGAGATCATCTTCATGCCCTTGTTGTCGAAGTTGAGAAAAAAAATGTTTCACCATTTGAGAGCCTATTGAATATTCCGAAATTTTGCACAGTGTCGGAAAACACCATGTAGAGAATTTATGTGAATACCCTCATGTTTCAATGAACTACCAGATTATAGCTGAAGGACTGGGCTATCGAACAGTGTGAACCAAATTCAAATTTTTCTAAACTGAAAAAAGTTATTAACATTATAACAGGGGCGACATTTTGGCGTGCGACGAAATTAGTGTTGAGTAGTTTAATTAATAATCAGTTATAATATATATCTATGAATCACAACTTCACCTTGTTTTCATTAATTGGAGCAATGAAAGTGGAAAATTATTGAAAACACGATGTTTCGCTAAAGCTGTAGCTTCTGAAGGTGTCAAAACTCGTATAATTAATAAACCATGGAATAGTATATTAATTTACTATGATGAAAAGTAATCCTTCGTTTGACAAGCAGAAGAAAAAATAACCTCTATTACCACTATTTGTTAGGCCACTTTCCTCTCAGAAAGAGGCTGAAAGAAACAACAAAAAGAAATAAATTCTCAATGACGAAACCCACTATCATCTGACTTGTCCTAATTAGTATATTGAACCAAAATATAAGCAATCTCAACTATTAGTGTCTGTGTCTCTGCCTGACCATAAAAAATGGTGCTTGACAGTATTATCGGAACAAATCGTGAAAATTTCATTTAAATCTCATAACTTGTGATGTTATTTCATATTTATTTATGTTTCATTCCAAAATGAGCAGCTGTTCTTACTTCATTTCCAACCATGGGTCTTCGAGCCTTCAAAGCAATGAAATACAGCAGTTCTGCAAGAAACACGCACAAAACCAAATTTTTCCTTATGGTATTCGAATTAGTTTGCAGGCCTCTGATCAGAGCTAGAATGAGATAAGTTCCTAGAAGTAGCGGTAAGGATATCGAAAAACAACTGTAACTCGATACGTTCTCCAGGAGAGATGGTTCAGGAATATACTGAAAAAAAAAAGAAGTTGACGTCAATGATAAAGTTCTGGTGTTTGGGGTGATAATTCACCTCAAGGTCAACGACATCAACTAATACTGCGAACGTTGTCAAATGGTTGCAGCTACAGTTGACAAGAATAGGTTCGTCGTCATGTTTGTCATACCAGTCGTCCTCGATTTCCGTTATACAGCCAACACGAGACCACTCACCGAATCTGAAATCAATAAAATATTATGTAACCAACATGGGTGCTCATCCATAACTAATATAAATCAGGAGGGTTAAAAGAACTTACAGTCACAACTCCACCACAAAAACAATTTAATAGTGACCAACGGTCATGGACAAAAGAATATGTTTCGAAGGATTAATCCTTCATCATCAGCAAAGGACCCCGGCACCGCAATAGAGGGGAAATTGACTTTCGGTGAATTTTCTCGAATTTTGGATATATCTTAGAACTCGTGATGCTGATCAGATGTTCTAATTATCAACGCTCTAAATTCGATAGTTTGTATTATACAGGGTGCTGAAGTTGACTTTTTCAAAATTTCGAATGGCCATTGTGAAGTTTCCTTTTCGAATACCAAAATCAAATCAACTACGTTTTGTTTGTCCAAGTGGTCGGTGAAAATCTACTATAGAGTTCAATGATGTCTGCACGTACTCACGATATACAGAGTTAGTCCAAAAATAGCAAATGTTTCAATTATTTCCGAAATAGTGCGCGGTTGAAATCAATTCATTTTTGGACATTCCGTAGTATACTTCCCACTAAACATTGTAATTTACAACAATTTGCAGCAAGTATGATAGTCTTTTACAATTGAAATCTTTCTTCGCGAGTTGAATGAGAATTTACTGTAAATTTGGTTATTTGCAACTTCCATTCGAAAATTGCCTGTAAGATGATTTTTAGAAAGTTTTCAAAAATGAGCTTATTGTAACTTGAAAAAAATGAACTTACCACCACGTCGATATGAGAGTTGGCGTTGAACTTTCAGTATGTAACTTCACTAGTGAAAGTTTATAGTAAAATCATTTTTATCAATTTACCACAAGTAACACTCTACAAATTTATCATAAGTTTCCATTAAGCTTATATGTATCACGTGATACAATTCGGATGCATGCGCAGGCGCAATAATTGTCTCTTTGTTCTCCTTCTTCACCTCTCTGCCATCTTGTTTTGTCTTTGCCAGTGAGTTGTGATGAGTTTTGGTGTTGGTGCGCTGTGTGATTATTTCTTATTTTCTTAACAAATTACCTATCGAATGTTCGGAATTCAATAACCCTTCTAAAGAAGATCATAGTTAAGCAGACATATTTCATTATCTTAATCATCGTGACTCTTTCAAGAACCAGAAATAATTTAAGACTTGATACAGGTGGAAGAAAAATTGTGGAATATCAATAGACGACGTAATTACGATATATGATTATAACCGTCATGGAAACTTTTCCTATGAATATTTTCATCGTGCTTCCTTCTAACCAACCATTATAACACAATTTTGTAAACAAACATCTCAGATATAGGTACCTAACCTGTAAATGCTAAACAGAGATTGTCAAAAATGTTTCATCATTCATGATGCTCTTTTGTTTTCATTTTCTACCTCCATGTTTTTGTAGGTAGGTATAGGTACAGATTAGGGTTTGTTAATCTGTGGTTATAGGTATTCATATTATTTAATATTACTGACTTTATAAAAGCTTGTTTCAAATACCTACCTCTACTTATCTCGAAAACCGTGAGGTTTTTACTGAGGTCAAGTTGTTGTTTTCTGATAGGTTAGGAACTTGTCTATTATGACCCAAGCATGGTTTACTGGATACTCTATATATACAGGGTGGACCATTTTAATCTATTATGGATATAATAGTTCTTTCCGGAAGCCGCTAACAAAAAAATGGCTTTGACAAAAGTTGAAGGGTTCAATGGGGGCCAAAGAATGGCCCTACTCACAACCCACCTCAGGGCACCCATACGGCCCTGGGATATGAATTTTTTTTTCCATGGGAACCGAGATGGGAACCCAATTTTTTCACAACGGATTCTTGTTCTACGGAGAAAATAAAATTAAATGTTTAGCAAATTTTTATTTGCGCCCCTTGAAGGGCCCCAAATTTCTAATTTTGGTATTTGAGTTGGAGAAAAACAAAGAATCTTACTTCACTCATGTAATTCGTTAACCAGATTGAGGGTTTGCTTAAAAACATTAAGTAGTGCCAAAGTAGATTAGCAGGAAGGCCTAATTTTCTCCAACTCATATACCAAAATTAGAAATTTGGTGCCCAAATAAAAATTTGCTAGATATTTTTTTTTTCACCGTAAACAAGAATCCGTTGTGAAAAAGTAGGGTTCCCATTGAAAAAAAAAATCATCTCCGTATGCGGGCCTGGGGGGGGGGGTTGTGAGTAGATCTATTATTTGGTTTCCATTGAACCCTTCAACTTTTGTGGAAACCATTTTTTTGTTAGCGGCTTCCGGAAAGAACTATATTATCCATAATAGATTAAAATGGTCCACCCTGTGTATGAATATAACAATTCTGAAACATTGAGAAAAAAATAGGTAATTTTTTTCACAATCATTCCAGCTGATATCTATTTATTTCTTTTCAGAATCTGTTCGTGCATCATATCCCAACATGGATGATAGCTTTTTGAGAAGATAGTGATGATTTGATTCCATTATGCTAAAACGAGATTTATTAGAAAAATTTTCAACTGAAAAAGCCTTTATCCTCCATACTCATAAAACTAATGTTTTAGTTTCCACTAGAATTTTTAATAATTTTTTATGAATAATCGTTATTTTTATTTGTAAAGATGGTATAAAATTGAATAAAAATATATCAAAAAATGTATTGCTTCAATAGTGGTATTATCATCTCTAATCTTGAATTGTATTAATTTCGTTCTAATAATATGATTGGTAGGAACAATTATTTGCATGTGGAAATACTTTTGATACTGACAAAAGCCCGTGTATAATGTCATCAAATTTTATCAAATTATTTGATATAATGCCATATTCTTCAATTCATCCGAATGGAACATTGTCGAATGTTTTTCAAGAATGAGATGAAAATGGCGCCACTTCAAACAAATTTGATGAAATTGTTGGCCTTTTTTATCAGTATCAAAAATATTTTCAAATTTTGCACCAGCCTACCAAAGTGTAATTTCAATGCAAATTCAGAATTAGCTCTTCTATAACTCATTATCCACTCGCCCTGATTTTGTCGTAAGTATTACTAGTATTCACAACACCATATAAAACAATTAACCTGTGAGTTTACCATCAGCTCAAGATACAATTTTCGTGAAAATTGCAGAGAGTTCTCAAGTGACAGCTATAATTTTTTGCAAGTTTACTGCAAATTATCTGAGAATTCGCAAAATAATCATTTAGAGTAAACTCACTGGAACTTCGGTATGAGCTGACATTCAATTTTCTGACAACTTCCATCATGTAAGTTTCCATTGTGAATTCCGTAGGAGGAAGATGCCATCTCTGAGTTAACTTGCTGCAAATTGAATGTGTAATTTACACTCGCAAAAATGTACTTGCTGGAAATTTGCAGTAAATTGAAATTGTTTAGTGGGTTATATCAACATCGATTCATGATGATTGCATTTTTTTAATCAGACTACATATTATACACAAGATGTTCAAGTTTCCATGAAACCGCACCCGTCCTGATATTCATATCCATCGAATGATTGGAATCCCGTGAAACTTGGTGAGGAAGTTGATAATTCGTGATGACAATATTTTATGCAAATACCTGAATTGTACAGGGTGGTTGAGAAAGTAGTAGTGGAGTTTTCTTGGAGTTGACGTACTCCAGAACAATTGAGGAACAAGACAGAAATCCTGAGTACGTCAACTCTAAGAAAACTCCACTACTACTTTCTCAACCACCCTGTATAATTCAGGTATCGCATAAAATATTGTCATCACGACTTATCAACTTCCAACTTCCTCACCAAGTTTTACAGGATTCCAATCATTCGATGGATATGGATATCAGGACGGGTGCGGTTTCATGGAAACTTGAACATCTTGTGTATAATATATAGTCTGATACACGAAATGCAATAGGCGAGAACACGAATTTCTGGAAAAAATACCATGGCCTTTAGTATGACGATAAAAGTATCAGGTATTTTTTTCAGATTTTTATTCGAAGTACTTTTTCCACAAAAAATTTGCAAAGTATCGATCCCGTTCAAACGAGCTGGAATATCGCGCGTTAATGTGACGTGACAAGTATTAGACGGTGATCCGGCAACGTCGCTTGATATCTTCTGGATTGTTGACTGTGTGGACAGTTGACGATTCGTTCATCTGTCACTACTGTCAGTTGTTATTTTATTTTATTGTTTATTTGTTTTTGTCGGCCAATATTATTTTTATTGGTGCCCTCGAATTATTTATTTTTTCTCATCAACGTTGATTCACATTTCTGGGATGGCAGTGGCTGTAAGGAAATGCCACAAACTTGGTTCCATCCTGCTTAATCAACACTGAACAAAGTATATGGATAAACCATACCTGGAATCAAATGATATATCTTGCTGTGAGGATCGTTTTGATGTGAGTAGAATTTTTTCTTCAATATGGATTGATCATACTCATTTTGTTCTAGCTTGAATATGACATGTTGAACTGGGTGGAATTGAAACTCATTGGATCTAGAGTTAATATGCCTGAAGATGTGATTCCATATTCATTAAACGTCCAAAACTGAGAAAACACCCATCAAAATCCTAACTTTCATCTTCAGCACAAAAAAGGAGATCTCAATAATCCCTTGAGAATTTGGGAGATAAGATAAAATGGAACTTCCCTCAAATCATATTGACTCTCCTTGAGGAAAATTCTTGAAAGTACCAGTGAATGTTTTAGTTGAAGAAAGTTTTCTTGAAGAACCTGAAAAGGAACCTGTCATGGAAGAGACTGACAACAAATATTATGAACCAGAACCAAATTGGTAGTCCCATAACATATTGTGATAAAATGACTCAGGACTGTTGATGATTGATATACAAATGTGTTTGTGATTTTTACCATCATGATTAAGTTTATTTGTTTTCTTGCAAACTTTGTGATGATCTGGACAATATATTGATGTAATATTTCCATGTTCTACATCTATATTCATTCTAGAAATGAAATATATCTATTAGGAGGTCTATTGA